TTCATAAATTAAAAAGTTTTATTTTTGAACGTTTCAAGGAAACGGTCGATTTTGTTACTTCGTCCCTATCAGTTTCGTAAGCTTAGCAGTGGTCTTTCTGAAAATAATGTTCATAGTCATCTTCAGGATGTCAAACACAAGCTAATTAGACCATTTCTAATCTTATAAAACTCATAGGAACAAAGTTCCAAAATAGAACGTTCTCCTCGTGAAACGTTCGAAAATAAAACTTTGTATTTTAGGAAAATTTAGGCTATACTTGTCTTCAGAACGTCAAATACAAGCTATCTAGACCACTTATAAGCTTACGAAACCGATTGAGACAAAGTCACAAATTCTATCTTTCCCTTCGTAAAACGTTCAAAAATGAAATTGAGTAATTTATGACAAATAAGTTCATAATCTTTATCAGGACGCCGAATAGAAATTATCTAAGCGAGTCCGAAACCTTAGAAACCCATAGGGACAACATTACAAAATCGACCGTTATCCTCATGAAACGTTCAAAGATGAAACGTTTATATTAACGAAATTGAAATCATAATAGTCTTTGAGACGTCAAATACAAGTTATCTGGACTATTCATACGCTTACGAAACCGATAGGGACGAAGTTACAAAATCGACCGTTCTCTCTTTGAAACGTTCATAAATGAAACTTTGAAATTAATAAAATTGAGATCATAATCGTCTTTAGGAGGTCAAAAACAAGGTATCTAGACCAGTCCGCAACATAAGAAACCCATAGGGACAAAATTACAAAATCGACCCTTCTTCTCGTGAAACATTCAAAGATGATACTTTGTAATACATGAAAAGAATAGTTAACCGTCTTCAGGACGTTGAATACAAGCCATCTGGACCATTGCTAAATTTACGAAACTAAGGGACGAAGTCACAAAATCGACCGTTCTCTCCTTGAAACGTTCAAAAATAAAACTTTGTAATTTATGAAAAGTATTGTCATAATCGTCTTCTGGACGTGAACCAGAAGCTTTCTGGACTACTTATCAACTTATGAAACCGATAGGGATAAAGTTACAAAATCGACTGTTCACCTCCTGAAACGTTAAAAAATGAAACTTTGTAATTTATGAAGATAAAGGTCATTGTCGGTTTGAGGACGTCATATACAAGTTATCTAGAACAGTCCGAAACATTTGAAACCCATAGGGATCAAGTTACAATATCGACCGTTCTCCTTCTGATACTTTCAATAATAAATCTTTGTATTTTATGAAAATTGAGGTCATAATGATCTTTTAGACGTTAAATACGAGCTATCTAGTTTATTCCGAAACCTCAGAAACTTATAGGAACAAAGTTACAAAATCGACCGTTCATCTTGTGGAACATTAAAAAATACAACCGTAATTTACGAAAATAAAATTTATAGGCGTCTTCAGGAAATCAAACACAAGCTTTCTTGACCATTTATAAGCTTACGAAACCAATTGAAACTAAGTTACAAAATTGACTGAGCTCCTCCTGAAACGTTCATAAATGATACTTTGAAATTAATAAAATTGAGACCCTTACCGTCTTAAGGACGTAAAATACAAGTTTTCTAGACCAGTCCCGAAACCTTTGAATCTTATAGGGACAAAGTTACAAAATCGACCGTTAACCGTGTTGAACGTTCAAAAATAAAACTGTCATTTACGATAATATAGTCGTCTTCAGGACGTCAACCACAAGCTCTCTAGACTACTTATAAGCTTACGAATACGATAGGGACCAAAGTTACAAAATCTAACGTTTTCTCCGTGAATGAAGCTTTGTAATTTATGAAAAGTACGGTGATAATCGTCTCCAGGTCGTCAACCACAAGCTTGGACTACTCATAAGCTTACAAAACCGATAGGGACATAGTTACAAAATCGACCGTTCTCCTAAAATGTTAAAAAATGAAACTTTTTAACTTTTGAAAATTAAAGTCATAGTCGGCTCAAGGACGTCGAATACAAGTTATCTAAGCGAGTCCGAAACCTTAGAAACCCGTAGAGACACAATTACAAAATCGACCGTTATCCTCGTGAAACGTTCAAAGATGAAACTTTGATATTAACGAAATTGAAATCATAATAGTCTTTGAGACGTCAAATACAAGTTATCTGGACCATTCATAGGCTTACGAAACCGATAGGGACGAAGTTACGAAATTGATCGTTCTCTGAATGAAACGATCAAAAATGAATCTTTGTAATTTAGGAAAATTAAGGTCATAGTCGGCTTTAGGACGTCAAATACAAGCTACCTGGACTATTACTAATCTTACGAAACCCATAGAGACAAAGTTACAAAATCGAACGTTCTCATCGTAAAATGTTCATAAATGAAACTTTGAAATTAATAAAATTGAGATCCTCATCGTCTTTTGGACGTCAAATACAAGTTATCTAGATAAGTCCGAAACCTTTATAACTTATAGGAACGAAATTACAACATCGACCGAACTCCTCGTGAAACGTTCATAAATGAAAATTTGAAATTAATAAAATTGAGATCATATTCGTCTTTAGGATGTTAAATACAAGTTATCTAGACGTTTCTTGAACGTTTCACGAAGAAAACTGTCTATTTTGGAACATTGTTCTTATGGGTTTCATAAGCTTAGAAATGGTCCAATCAGACTGTGTTTGACGTCCTGGAGACTACTAAGAACATTATTTCTAGAAATTACTGTTTCATAAAATCGGCCGATCGCCTCGTGAAAAATTCAAAAATGAAACCGTAATTTCTAAACTAGTCTCCAGGAAGTCAAACACAATCTGATTGGACCATTTCTAAGCTTATGAAACCCATAAGAACAATGTTCCAAAATAAACAGTTTTCCTCGTGAAACGTTCAAAATTATAAAACTTATTATTTTATGAAAATTCGGGTCATAATTATCTTCAGGACGTCAAATACAAGCTATCTGGACTAGATAAAAACCTTGAAAACCTATAGGCTCAAAGTTACTAAATCGACCGTTCTCCTCGTGAAACGTTTAAAGATGAAACTTTGAAATTAACGAAATTGAAATCATAATAGTCTTTGAGACGTCAAATACATGTTATCTGGACCATTCATAGGCTTAAGAAACCGAGAGAAATGAAGTTACAAAATTGACCGTTCTCTCCCTGAAACGATCAAAAATGAAACTTTGTAATACCTTTTATTGCACCGCCGGTGAGTATCCACCTACTCAAATTATCAACTGTGTTTGTCTGTTTTTTTTTTGAGATATTACTTGAAAAGTGAATAAAACGGATATTTTCCAATCAATGCAATTACAAAATAATGCGATTCAGTCATTTAAAATGGAATTTGTCGCGCACAATCGATAGAATCTATCTTTATTACCTCGGATAATATTTTATTGTAGGTCGCACTGATGGTATATGCAGCAGGACTAAGTATTTAATTTACCGTTTATATTCTTATTATTATTATTATTACCTAAATCAATTTTTCTTATCAACAATAAGATAACAAATAATAATTTTAATAAAATAAATAAAAAAAGAAAAAAAAATTTTTTGCTTTTCAAACTGATGTTCTACTATACAAGCCGCGTTGTAGTGGTTTTGTCACGGGAGCGAAAAAAATATGTAAACACCGGATATTATGTAACAAATTTTTTTCCACATTAAATAGGGTTTTAATCAAGTAATTACATATAAATATATATAATTTATTGATCATAAGTGATAAAATCGACCTTTACTATATTGGTTATTGCATCGCCGGTGAGTATCCAGCTACTAAAATTATCAACTGTGTTTGTGTCTGTTTTTTTTTGAGATATCATTTGAAAAGTGAATAAAAGGCATATTTTCCAATTAAAGCAATTACAGACTAATGCAATTCAGTCATTTAAAATGGAATTTGTAGCGCACAAACGATAGAATCCATCTTTAATACCTCGGATAATATTTAATTTACCGTTTATTTTCTTATTAATATTATTACGTTTATATATATTTTATTTTATCAACAATAACATAACAAATGATAATTTTAATAAAATAAATAAAAAAACTGACATATATTATTTTATTACGAATAATTGGGAATAAAAATAAAAATAATCATAATTATTATAATAAATAATTATAATTATAAAATAATAATAATTAAAAAACTTTGATAATAAATATTCTAATAAGTAATGAAAATTTATTTAAATCGAAATACCACGCATACGCGCGCTTGCGCGCGCACACTATAATCTAGTGTATAGTAGATGTTTCCGCTTATAGTACCTAACCATGTAGAATAATTCACTTACTTTTCTGTCTCGGGGTTAATTAACATATAAATTTCTTGGTATTTATATTAAACATGAAGTTTATTTTTAAAACTAAATCTGATAAAACTTTTAGGCATCAGTTGTTAAAAGTTTTGAAAACTTTTACTTGTAATACGGTATGTATTGACATTCATTTAATTTTTAGTATAAGTATTTTATCTTCTGTATTTTCACGTACTAGATGCTCGACATATCCTCAAAATCTTCGATAATCTAAAGTACAACTAAAAAATATTTTTAAAAAATTTCATTTATTGTTTTAAAATGTTTTTTATATTTTTGTGATGACAGTAAAGTTAGCAGACGTCTAAAAATTTTTGATTTATTTTTATTAATTAAATCACAACTAAAAAGATATTTATAAAAAATTGCACTTATAGTTTTCGGAGTTTTTTACGTGTGAATTTTTTTTTTAATTGTTGTATTGAAATTTTTTCAAAAAAAAAAAATTTCTAAAAATTTTTGAATGTCGGCTAACTTTATTTTCATATTTTTGTGATAATTCTTGCCATAAAAAAACAATTATGAAAATTTTATGATGTCAACCTTCAATTATTAATTAATTGTATTAATTGTTTCAGCCTCACACGTCGTCTGGTCCAATATATAGGAATGGCGACTTGTATTGGCGGTTTTTATCGTATGTTAGAAAAAAATTTCCAAAAGGGTCGCTGAAAAATATCGATTTAACATCTTAAAAGGCTATGTTAACTACCTTAAATAGTGGTCACAAGTACGCTCAGTCGTTTCAGTCATCCTTCGATCTGATGCTCGAAGAGTATTCGGAGGTCATTCAAATAAATTTGGAGCTTCTGAAGCATAAAAAGGTCGATATCATCTTGGTGGCACCTGCCATACAATTGACAATACCGTTCGTTGAATCTCTGATCAGCATTTTATCGTCTGAATTCAAGGACGAATTGGACCAATCGTTCGCGAACGGTACTGTGCCATATAGGCCTTTAATCAAGCGCATTGAATCGAGATTTTTGGAGATTGTTCATCCGGATCCTGACATCAGAGATTTTATATTCTCTCATGTAATAAAATATGTGGTGTCCCAAAGACGTAAGTGTATTACATTTTATAATAAGTAATTTATTTAATTATTATTTGATACTAAATTTTAAAATTTTATTTTTTACAGTTGGTCTTCCCATATATAGTATACCAGTCGTCGGGAGTTATTATCATAGAGATCTACTATTGTTTCTGGGCAAGTGGGGTCTTGATAAAACGCTTTTTATAAACCCCGTAGAGAAGACGAACAAATTTAAAACTAGTACTCACAAATCTAAAGTACTGACGGTCAAGCCGAACAAGTAGAAGATTTCATCTAAGAAGAAAGTCCTCGACTCCTCTGACGAAGACGAGGAGTCTCTTCGTCAGAGTGAGAAGGGAAATGTTCAAGACTCGAGTAGTGATGAATCTTCGTTGGAAGAATTAGAAGAATCTCGATTAGAATCTCCAGATTCAAGTTATACTGTGGATCTAAAAAAACTGTATCATGGCCGTCACAAAAAATCTGGTGATGGTAATTTGGATGAAAGTTCGACCAAGATTTCGAGTGCTATAAAAGGAAAACAGACCCCAAATATTCCTATCAAGAGCTCTCAGCGTAAAGATAAATCGAATGCAGAGAAACAAAATCAGACTATCAGAGTTAATAGTAGTATTCAGGGTGAATTGCTAACGCCATTCGTATCAACTACTTCCGCTGTATCGAAAGTTAATGTGAAAAAACGTAAAGATACAGAGGATTTATCGGTTTCTGAGTATTTAGATTCTCGCAAAAAACGCAGTAAGACATCAAACGATAAAAAGGAGTCTCCTGAGAATTCTCCATCCGAGAATCTTGCCAGTCATAAATTGCCTGCGGCAGATAGGTATGGTGAGACTTCATCGCAAAATAACAGTAAAAAAAGGAAAGCGGAAGGTGTCCAGAACTCGTCTGCTGCGACAAAAATAAACCCTTTGAATAAATTGCTGAAACGATCAGACAGCAAAGAAACCGGTCCGATAATCAATATAGTTTCTATCGAGAAACTCAAAGGGACGGACGCAGTCAACCTTGAGACATTGTTTGATGGTTGTTCTGATCATATCTCATCAACGAGATCCGTACCAAAGACTAAGACGGCCACACGTGAAAAACATGGGCATGAGAAGAAGTCACCTTCAAGACGCAAGAATAACACTGAGTTAAGCGATGTGTCGTCTTCCGAGCTTACAGGAGATGAAAATTACATCGACCCAATATCGCCTGCCCAGAGAACTTTAATCGGCAGTGCTACTCAAACTTCTGTATGTACCGATGGTGAGAATTCGATCCACGAATCTGCACAAGTAACAGCAACCCTTGACGAACAAAGTGTTCACGAGCAGGCGTCACCTTCAAGCCGCATGAATGACACTGAGTCAAACGATGATCCGACTGCCGAGACTACAGGATCCGATCATGAGATCGGGCCAGTAACGTCTGCCCAGAGAACATTGAACGACAATGCCACTCCAACTGCTGTAGGTACCGATGGTAAGAATTTGGACTCCGAAAATGAAGAAGAAATAGCAACGGTTGATCAACAAAGTGATCACGACCAGACGTCACCATCCAGTAACAACAATAAAAATGAGTTCGACGATGATTCTGTTGACCAGCTTAAAATCGGCGATAACGAAATCAACCCAACATCGCCTGCCAAGTGGGGTTCAGATGGCAATGCCACTCCAACTGCTGTAGGTACCGATGGTAAGAATTCAATCCACGAATCTGCCCAAGTAACAGCAACGCTTGACGAACAAAGTGTTCACGAGCAGGCGTCACCTTCAAGCCGCATGAATGACACTGAGTCAAACGATGATCCGACTGCGGAGACTACAGGATCCGATCATGAGATCGGGTCAGTAACGCCTGCCCAGAGAACATTGAACGACAATGCCACTCCAACTGCTGTAGGCACCGATGGTGAGAATGCGATCCCCAAAACAGACGATGTGTCTGCTGGAAAATCGTCGGAAGTCCTAACCACCATCGACCCAAAATCGTCTGCCCAGAGGGCTGTAGATGACACTTCCACTCCAACTGCTGTAGATACCGATGGTGAGAATTCTTCAGTCTCTGAAATTGCGGAGCAACGTCTTCAACAAAATGTCAGGCAAGTCTGGACGTATCCTTTAAGACGCAACAACGGCTTAAAATTGGATGATGTGTCTGCTAGCAAATCGTCGAAAGTCCTAACCACCATCGACCCAAAATCGTCTGCCCAGAGGGCTGTAGATGGCAATTCCACGTCAATGTCTGTAGGTACCGATGGTGAGAATTCGTCAGCCTATAAAATTGCGAAGCAATGTCTTCAACAAAATGTCAGGCAAGTCAGGACGTATCCTTTAAGACGCAACAACGGCTCAAAATTGGATGATGTGTCTGCTAGCAAATCGTCGAAAGTCCTAACCACCATCTACCCAAAATCGTCTGCCCAGAGGGCTGTAGATGGCAATTCCACCTCAATGTCTGTGCGTACCGATGGTGAGAATTCGGTCCCCGAAACAGCTTCAGGTGCGAATGATACTAGGATGTTGGTGGATGATCCTGACGAAATACCACAAACGGCTAAACTTCAACAAAGTAATATTTTAGCAGCAGCTCTCAAATCCACTACTAAGGCTAAGGCCAAGGCACGACCCACGAAAAAGAAGCCCGACGAACAAGTGTTCTATGACAGTGATGGAGAAATAGAAGCTCCTTTTTTGGGCTTTCCTACTGTTAAAAAAAAGTGCGCTCAACCGATTGAAGAAAAAGTGGTCACGAGTGAAACTACAGACACCCGAAACTTCATATCTTCCCGACTTCGGAAACGAAAGCCAATAAACTACAAAATTTGAAATAGTATTTAATTTTAATAGATAATAAAAGAAATTATATGTATTGATTTACTGTTTAAAACATATAAATAAATAACATAAAACATTTGATAGTGCTATTAATCAAATAGGTTAAATTAATTAAATAGTTAGATAATGACCATTTAGAAGCTAAATTACTGTGAAATGAAAGTTATTTATTAAATTATTTTTAAATTACTAAATTCTCTGTGTTTTTTTATTTATACTTACCTAAATAATAATAAACTTGGTTATAAACTAACCCGAAATAATAACTTACCTGAATCTTAATTACACATACCTAATAACTTATCTGAAACTATCCTGCAAAAAACAAACCAACAAAAATGCCCTATATGAAGAAACATACGTACAATAGACTTTTAAAATTCATTCGTCGACATTTAAATAATTTTGAAAATGATAGAAATTGGCTAACAGCGGAAATTTTAAGAGCAATGTGTGAAGCAGTCTATCAAAGACAGACAGCGGAAGATCGTAAAAACCTACGTAATTACGTTAAATCGAATAGGGCGCAGATATTGGAGGATGCTGCATCAAACGCGGATTGGCAACACCACATATCCCGAGGTGCTGAAAAAGTAGAGAAAATTGCTAATATACTTACCGATCATCCTGAGATAAATTTCGAACGATTCAATAGAGGCGAAGCAGCAAAAATTGCCCATTTCTTCTACAACGTGAAGACTATTGATGATAATAAGATTGGCTACATAAATTCTCTGGTTAAATCTAAATACAATGAGATCAAAGCTAAACTACAGGTGTGTATTTTTTGTTCTCTACGTGACTATTTTTTTTATTAAAATTTATTATTTATTTCGACGTTAACAGGACAGCGACGAAGAGCAAGATCAGGATGTCACAATAGCTCAGTTCGACGAAGAGGATAATGTTGATGCAGTTGACAGAAGATCAGTTCAACAGCAGACAGTTCAACGCACAATACCATCTAAGAAGCGGAGGAACTCTCTAGACATTATCGTCGAGGAGAATAGGGAGTATATAAAAACAACAAAATTACGAAAACGGCAAAAAAAATCATAAATGTTCTATTGAATTGTTCGAAAGTTAAATTTAAATGTCCCCTAAAAATAAACCTTATAAATATCAAAAAAAAAAACAGACTCAAACATAGCTGAGTACTCACCGGCGGTGCAATAACCAATATAGTAAAGGTCGATTTTATCAGTTATGATCAATAAATTATATATATTTATATGTAATTACTTGATTAGAACCCTATTGTTATGTCCACCCGCAAAAAAAAAAAAAAAAAAAAAAAAAAAAAATTTTTTCCTTTTAAATTCAAATCAGCCGCGCAGATGGAAAACTTCTCCATGCGCGAAAGCCACAATAAAATATAAGCTACGTGACTGCTGGTTGACTAGCGGGGACTTCTGCAAACTCAGCACCGCGAGTATTTAAAAAGGCGATCAACAGCCAACGCCTCGTCTTTGTTAATTAATTCGACTTCCGCGTTTAGTTGACGGGCCCGTGCCTTGTAGAGTCCTTTGCTTTAATTTGCACTGCACTTAAAGGAAGTTGGACGCGGTTTAACCGGCAGGCCACGTATTAATTTTAAGTAGTAAATAAAATTTTAGAGAACCGGAATTCTCAAAGTTCTAATTTGCTCCGCACTTAGGCGAGAGTTCGGTCATTAAGATTATTCAAAATTCATTTTTTTAGCTAGTTTTGCGCACTTTACCCTACGGGGGACTGGAGGACGTTAGCTCAATCAAATTAATAAAATTCATTAAATTAAATTACGTCAAAATAAAATTTGTAAAAGTGTAAAAGTTTTGGTGTTAATTCAATAAATCTAAATAAAAGTGAAATCAGTTTAAATCAGTTCATTTCACAAAAATAAGAAGCCCGTAAAATAAGCAGCCCAATTCCATCCTAATCCATCCGCTGCAAGGACCAACCAGAGGGCCCAATCCAGGAAAAGGCGCTAACAGCAGCCCCGGAATCACGGATCCGGCAATAATTAAAAATCCTGCATAGAGTAAGTACATCTATTCTCAATAAAATCCGTAATCAGTCTCAAACGAAGGCGTGGTAAATGCGTACATCGAAAACGGCCCACAAAAATAATTAAACAACGGAATTAAAACCTCCGTTGTGTATTCTTTAAACTGTTAGTCCAAACCTCCACCGTTTACGCTACCGCCCTAAAAACGCCCTTGGACATAACAAACTAATCGATATTGCAAAGTATCCTCAATAAGACACATTATTTTTTTATTATTTCTGAAATCTTATTTTTCCATATTTTTCATTTATTGATTTCCTTACTCACAGATTTCCAAAATTTGATGTTTCCATTTTCTGTAAAATTTCCGACCGTAAAGAATCAATGAAACGCATTGTACATAAGAATACAACGGATCTTTTATGAGATAATACCCTATTTCCGCAATTGTATGAGACATTGTTATTGAGCATGGATGTTTGTATAATCAGGTGATAAGGTATCTTTATTATCTTTATTGCCATCCATACTTAGCATACTTAGCATATTTTAAGATTTATTTCAGTTTATTTTTTATTAATATTTTATAATACGATTATTGGAAATTTTTATTAATATAGGCTATTTTTTATGATGGTTTTCTATTTGAATTTGCGCTAGTGTATCAATAGAGTGATTAAGTACTAAATAGTCTGGTAATTTAAATTGAATTTTTTCTTCTTAATTATTTAAAAAGTAAAAAATATTAAAGGTGAAAATTTTATACCAAAATTCACAATATTAACAATTTAAAAAATTTTTACAACTAAATTATAATGAAATAAATTTAGCAAAAAATTCTACAAGTAGAAATTTTAAAAAATTGTAAATGCGAATTTTTTTAAATATTTTTTTTATAATAATTGATTTTTTATAAAAATTTTAAGAATATTTTTTCAAAAAATTTAATGAATAATCATAATAAAAAACAAAAGACGAAAAAATTATTCAAGTTACCAAACTACTATTTTAAAAAAATTATTAAATGATTTTTTAACTTACAAACGCAGCACAATCCTTTTTTTCCGAGTCCAACCAACATATTAAGACATAAATTACAATAAGCTGGTTTATTAAAGTGTTTTAATCTCCATAAATGATTTCCATCTTCTTTGACATGAGAATCTAAGCCCAGAAGTACTAAAAGTGGAATTGTTGTGAGTCCACCTCGTTTCCATTCTTCCAAAGAAACCGTTCCATCAGCGTCGTAATCGATTTCAATCATCATATCTTGTAAAATCTATAAAAAAAAAAAAAAAATTATTGATGTAGTAACGATGATTTTAAATTATAAATTCACGATAGAAATTTTGAAATGTTTATGATATCTAGGGGTGAAATATGTAATGTAACTGTGTTATGATTATTCAAATCTAGAATTATCACTAATCACTTCAAATGTATAGTGTAGAATTTCCATTTTAATGATACGATTAGTTGATAATGATAACATAGACGGTAAATGGATGAATCGACATTTTTTTCTATAAATTATTCAAAGTGCAATCTTCATTATTAATTTTTTTATGTCATACTTGGATGACCATGTAAATTTTTCCAACAATAATTGATAATTAATCTTGGATATTAAATACTTATTTATTGTAATAAAGTATTTAATTTTATAAAAATTGATCACAAATGTATTTAGCAAACACGGCGAATTAAAAATATTTATTAAAATTAAATAATTGTCTTCAAATAAATTAAATTATTAATAGTTAATAAATCCTTTTATCAGTGTGATAATTAAAGCTAAAAATTTAAATTTTGCATATCCGAAAAAAAATATTTAAAATATTCCAACAATGATATATTTATGACCATGATGAATTTAAGTCGATAGGTATGAAATCACGGTTTTATTGATGAGTCTATAAGATCCGTAAGTAGCATTGTTTATTATGGACCCTATCTAGCAGTAGATAAAAGAATCTAGTTATGTAGTGTTCAGATAAGCTGACAGCTGAATAGACCCAAGACCCGTAGAACAACGATGGATCATCGAAGTTAAATAGAATTACGGCTGCACAATGCTCCGTACTTCGTACCGAATGACCGGGTGAATAAATTTCTCCGTACCTCATATAAAATATTGCTTTAAGATCTTATATGCTTTTAGGATTATATTTATGAAAATAAAAAGATTTTATGTAACAACCGCAGAAAAATGAGATGATAAGATTGTTATCTAAAACATATTCTTCTTTTGAATATATCATCAATTTTTTTTATTATCTTATATATTTTAAATTTTAACTCACGGGTTTTAATTCTGATACATCCCATCCGAGGTACTCTGCTACGTTCATCATTTGATTGACAATGCAATCCATTTCCTGGTGACAAAAATTAAGAATTTTTTAATGCATTATATTTTTTAAAAAAGTGAAAATTGATTAATTAATTTTGAAATTAATAAATACTTACATTAGTATCAAGAACACCGTTTCCGTCAGTGTCATACAGTCTAAACATGACTATTAGTAAAATAAAAAAAAATTATTAGTTTTATAATTAAAAAAATTGGTAATTTTTTAATAATAATACTTATAATTCTTTTTTTTCAGTCTATCAAAAATAAATGACACTGGAGTTTATAGAAAATTTTTTACAATTTAATCTATATAATTATCAACTGACTTTGTATCTTATGAACTGACATTTTCTAAGTATAAGCTCACCTCGACATTATAGTCATCGAGACCTTTCATTTGAGTACCCACATCAATTTTTCATATATTTATATATTTAAATATATCATATATATGTTTATATGAAAAATATATCAAAAATGCATGTGGGTACTCAAATGAAAGCTCTTGATGAGTGTAACATCAAGATG